GGTGCAATAGCATTTGACACGTTTTGTCTTCCAGAGGTGTTAGCGCCTCAAAGACCACCAGCCCCGCCAACGGAATACTTCCAGTTGAATTTAGGTGGTTTCGATACGGAGACCCTGTTGAAAGCATCTGATAATCATCCGAAAATAAAAGGCTACGTAGGCTGCTTAAGAGGACTGCAGATTGGAAACACTCTGATAGATTTGCCTTCAAAAGTCAGCGAAACGGATGTAGGTAGGTGAGAATTATGTTTAATTAAGTGTTCTTCAATTCTTAATCTAAATTTATGGCCACTTTGTCCAATAAATTCAGCAACATAATGGAGCATATTCAAAAAGTTATGAACTTTTTACTATTCAAATTCTAAAGTTAGGCTTTTAAAATGTTTGATGTAGCCAGGAATACAATGTTGTCGGTTAGACGGTATACGATAACTACTATACGTTCATTTGTATCTAGCTTCTTACATTAAGTAACTTTGTTTGATATAAAAAAATCAAATGTTTTTAAGTATTATTCATGTGTAATTCTTTACCCTAGTTAGTTTGTTTTGAAAAGGTCACATAATAAAGCAAGACTTTGATCAAAGTATGTGGTCAACACTGTCATATTGTCAAATCTATTAGGTTAGGTAGTGTCAATATTACTGTGGCTGCTACTAAAAGATAAGGGTAACTTTGACAAAAACTGATTGGTCTATTCCTGATGACAAATGCATATACAATTTTAAATCCCAAATGGTTTAACTTTTTTTACTGAATATTTAAAATAACTTGCATATTCTCTATTACAATATTTCTAAAACTGCCTAACTCATACCTGAATACGGCCAATTTATATACAATACTTTTCGATACCTATCCATTCTACTATCCATCCTACTGACTGCGCCAACTTTTACCATTAAATTGATTTAATAAAGATCTGGCTTAATTTTAACGAAGTTATTTAATGGTAATATTCTTTTCTCTTTTGATTTTAGGGGTGATAGGGCACTGCAACATGAAATGCGATGAAGTTCCGTGCAAGCACGGCGGCATCTGTATCGAAGATTTCGAAAATCAAAAACACACTTGCGACTGCGAACACACCAGCTATTATGGAGAACTGTGTTCGGAAGAAATCGGAGCGGAATTTAATGGAGAATCGATTTTATGGAGGCAATATATCTTAAATGGTACCGTGGATTACGTGAAGTTCCAATTAGCGTTTTCTAGCGTCGATATCAGTCAGAAAAATACAGTTCTGTTACTGTTGCAAACAGAAAATGGGTATGAAATTATTATACGAGGATGAATGAGATATATTTTTGAAAATTATCCTTTTATTTCAGCCGCAGTTACTATTTAGTGGTGGGTCTAAGCACCGAAGGTCATCTGACGGTCCAAGAAGATCGCGAAGGTGCTGTTTTTTCCGCGACCGTGAACAAGAAAAATTTCATCAATGGTGCTAGGCATTCTATACATTACAGAAGGGATTTCAACGATTCCGAATTGTATATCGACAGAGAATTGACGTCAATGAAACAAATTCCGGCTCAGACGTTTACTAATATCCCTGAAGAGGGCGGAAACGAAGTTCAAATTGGAGGACATGACACCGCTGATCCGCGATTCGCAACCTACAAGAGGTACAGCGGATGTTTATCGAGTAAGCAAAACGCATTTACTTTACTATTTTTATTACTTCGTCTTCATTATCTTTATTTTGTGAGTTACAAGTAGATTTAGCTCATAATACTGCTGGCGTTCCCCTTATTCGGGTAGTTATCTAAATAGTCCTGTGCCCTTGGTTAGTTTTACTAGGTTTCCAACCAAGTGTCTCGTCGCCTAACTAGAGCTTCACATTCGAAGCGTGGTATTAGGTTTCTTCCTTCTCTATACAGAGTCTACACCTGGTGGGATCATCATGTAGTCCCATCATATGAAAGTGTTTCTACAAACAATATCCTCTTGGTAATCCCACAATGGTAGACATCTAAGGCCTTGCGAGCTATAGTAATTCAGCAGTCATGGATTGATTTATTCAGCTAAAGCTTACTGATTCTGTCCTCTTATCTGTTGCCAGTGGATTTGTTATTTAGGGGTTATCCACCTGTTCACTGCTTGTCGAACTTATCCCAAATACAGGTTCGCTTCCTGCGAAAGGTAGTTCTGATTCCTCTTTGGCGACTTCATCATTTTTTCCATTTCCTTGTATACCTTTATGTCTAATACACATGCTTCATTTACCTTTATTGTAGATTGTCAGATAATTGAGTAATTCTCTTTGAATTATAAGATGGTTTAAAATACAGTAGTATGTTTTCCCAATGAGTCGGTGATGTCGGATTTGGCTTTCACTCCATGTACGCCAGATCCTGTTCCCTTACTATTTGTAGATCCATTCGTATACCATACGATACTTCTAAGCAGGTATTTCCTGATTTAACTCGTTCAAGTTACAGTTGACTTGAAAGCGTCTTTTAAAGATTAGGCATGTCATGTTGTATGATCTCGTGTTTAATATACCCTGAGAGGGTATTTGAGGCTGATGTCGAGTGTATTTTTGGCCAGACCACCAAACAACCGATCCATAGGTAATCATGGGTCTTGTTATTGCCGAATATATTTGGTGGACCATTTTGTTTTCCGAAATGCCCTTTTTGGTACAATGGGAGACATTTTACATTTGTTGGCCACTTTTTGTAAGTGTTGGTTCCAAGTAAGTCTGCTATCTAGGATTAGACCCAGATATTTTCCTTTGTTTTTTGTCGTCCCCCAAACAGGATCAAAGCTTTTTTTTAACTACTTATTTTTCGAGAAACGGGTCTTAGTTTACTAAGAGGTTTTCCTCGCACCACGTTTCTTTGCATGCGATCAAAACTGTGATTTTGAGTTTCTCTTGAATAAAGATAACTATATTGTCATCAGCAATCATTGGGTGTACAGAACTGAACATTTTTGTCTGTACTTGTCGTTCCCGTAACATGTTTTCTATCTACCAACAAATATGTTGTCTTCCATTCCTTGTTTGGAGAGGTAGCTACCATTGATTTGAAGGAGGTATCTTCATCATCACTGTTCTAGAAGCAAACTTCCATTATTTTCCTTTCCATCCTAATACTTGTGTTATATAGATGCCCGTTTAGGTGTGGTTGTTTAATACAAAACCGATCTGTACTGTGAAGTAGCTTGAGTTGTGAATTCCTGCCTGGAGGCCTTAGGTTAAAATTTTAAGACTATGGTCGGCAACGTGCTTAAACTTCGCCTTCGTTCGATATGGCCATCATATTCACTCTTGTTTCACAAACTATTATATTTCAGTTTATTTTAAGCTATTGCATAGCTTTTATCGCGGGCTTTGAGCGCGGCGACCGAATCAAGAAAAAAAAAAACGAAACCGTAACGAAAAAAAAACCTAACACTCCGACCGGCACAGCGATGCGGCGTTAAACAATATTAACTTCTCATTTATTCAACAAAAGAAAATCGAAAAATCGAAAAATATCGAAAAATCGAAAACCGAAACAGAAATTCCGTAACGAAAATAAACCTAACACCCCCACTCCGACCGGCACAGCGGGGCGGCGTTGAAAGACGTGCATCGTCTAACGTCGTTTCAGTTCGGCAGACTTCGGCACGGTGTTTGTGTGCGTGCGACTAGACGTATGCGTGTAGACTAGCTGCTAACTGATTCTATCTCTTTTAGACACAATTTCGGAAAAATTGAATTTGAAAATGAATAATGATCCACAAAAATCCACAACAAAATATGGGACCAACATTGACGCGGTATTTTAAATAAATAAATAAATAATTATAATTGCATAAGTTGATAAAAAATGCTATGCAATAGCTTTACCGCGGCAGTCCCCGAGTGCCACAAGTATTTTATTTATTGTTACGTGTTCATCTAGTATTGTCCTAAAGTTTTTCCAATGCGTCGTAGTATAGTCATAAAATTGACCCTGAATTCTCGGTATCACTCGTGTGTTCGCGATCTCCAAATATACAGGGTCATGGTCTGATGTAAGTGTAGTTATTGTCCTGACGTTGTCTACGTTTGGTATGTCTTTTGTAACAAGTGTACTTGGCGTTTTACCATTGAAGGGAAAAAATGTTGGTTCCTCTGTATAACGAATTATTAAATCGTTATTATCGGTGAATTTTTCGAGACTTCTACCATTTGTGTTTGGTGTTATACAATTAGCATCCAAACTGGAATGTTTGCAATTGAGGTCCCCGAACATCATTTCTCTTTTTCCCGATGACATTATAACATATAGTTCATGCTGCGTGAGTGTGTTATCTGGTGTATTATAAGCACCTACAAAAATTAAGTTACCTACTTTCATTATTATATGCTCTGCCGTTATGTTAAGGATTAGGTAGTTGTTCATACTGAAACTGAATATTATTTTTGATTGCGAAAGCTACCACCCCCCCCGTGATTTATTGGGTTTGTCTTGTCTGATGACATCATACTCTTGTATTTTAAATTTGTCCGTTGGTTTGTAGTTTGTCTCAGTGATGAGCATGATGTCAAATTTATGTTTGAGAACGAAACTGCGAACAATTTGTGTCTTGTTACGCATCCTATTCGCATTGTAAAAACATATTTTGAGTTTGTCTTTGTTATTTCCAAGTTTCTTAGGTTGAAATTTACGTCTATGTTGGAAAAGAAATTTTTATAGGTATCAAATAGTTCTCTACTGTTCTTACATTGTCTTACAAGGGAGGTAAGTTCTCTTACCGCTCTAACAAGCTCACCTGTTTAATAAACTGTTGAGTTCTGCGTATGCTTCGTTTAGGGCTGTGAGATCGTCCATGATCATGTTATTTTGTCCACTTATAGTTCTGGTAAGTGCCCAGACAGCACAAAAATATTGCATGAATATTCAATGCATATCTCAACTTCATACTCCTATATTCCATGGATATGCCATATCCGCCATGGCATATGACAGGAAGATTGCAGGAATATTCAAGGTCACCATAAAACATATGCCCACGATATGTTTCTATCTGCCAAAATATATGTATGGCATATTCTCTGGATTTACTGAGGATATCTATGTATGCCTATATTCATGGTATTTTGAATATTCATGGCGTTGAGACGTTCCTTGTTTTTGCAACTCTTCTTCGGAGGTGCTATATCCTTGTTTGTAATTCAGGATCGACTGGGTAATGTTGAGTGGTATGTCATTTTTCCTAATTCCTATTTGTATCCTTGGATCACTTAGAATAAATCGTACACTACTCAGTTCATCCCCTTTTTGGGTATTTCCCACTCTCTGACTTCATCATTTGCCTTGGATGATCTATCCAAATTATTCACGCATGCGCCTGTCTCTTGGTTTGACTCAGTATTTTTTGCTGGGGGAGTATCTACTGGAGTGATGGTGCTGTCATCAGAAGAATTGTTCTTTTGCCCAAAGTCCAGCGTTCTCACCTGCATGTGTTTCGGTAGTGGTAGCGTTACATATGCTGAGTTTAAATTTTCGAGATTTTCTCCTAACTTTCGTGAAGTTGTCGACTGTTGTTGATTGTTTTTGAGGTCTTTACCCCTTCAATGTCTTCGTTCATCTCCGAACGGTCCGGTTTAAATTTTCTGTGCTCTCTTCTAGATCATTAATTAAGTTCTCCAAACTTTCGTTTGGGTTAGCTCTTGCGGTGTTGTCTGTGTTCTCCACACTTTTATTTAGTGAGTCGTCCGTGTCCTCACCTGAGTCTTCTAATAGCAATTTAAATATCTATTTACAGCGGGATTTCTTCGCAATGTTCTCATGAAGTATTCCTCCTCTGCTATGACCCCCGATGGAGCCATGACCGATGTCTTGGCCGTATATTTCAATGATAGTAGTTAATATTTTAGTTTAAAAGTGGCCTCTCCTTGTTATAACTAACATTATAGGTCAATATAGGCTATTAAGGAAAAGTTTCAGATTTTTGTGTGATTTTAATTGTGTCTGTCTTCTCTGAAAAACCGATTGAAAAAAACAGGGTTGTCCTTAAATCTTCGCGTGTGTTGACTTTTGTTCAACCCAGTGACATCATGGTTTAGTCTTCCGTCCGACTAGAAATCAAGAGATTCCTTGGTTTCTATTCGGAAGACCGGCCAATCATGTTTTGCCGTTGTGCTAGCTTGTAACAACCAGCCGCGGTGGGTTATGTCTTTTAGTAATATCTATGGCACGCTGTCGTGGGGTTATATCGCTTTGTCCATTGAATTTTCGTGTCTAGCGACGTCTAAAAATTGTCAGGTTTTTATGCAAGCAGCCATGCCTCCTACTGGTACAATTGTCATTCGTTATGTTAAAAATGTCTTCTTTAACGTACGTTAAAAGACAATTGTGGCAGAATTTCTCGGATTATCAGTTTGTACATTTTCTGAGACAGCGTTTGAACGTTGATTCAACGATAATTACTTTATTTTTTAGACATATTCATTGAAGTGAACGAACATGTGATGAAGCCTTTGGAGGAGTATATGCTTTTTACAAAAACTGGAACCGAAAAGGTGAACGTGTCCAATCCGCACGGGGTCAGAAGTGCCCAATGCAGCTCTGACTTCGATAAAATCCACGAAAAGACTCCAGCCGCGATAAATCTCAACATAAGTCAAGTATGTTAATGTATTTTCGTACTTTGACAATTTTAATCACGAAATATTTTTAGGGAACAGACAAAACTTGGGTACAAGACGCTCCTCAGCGAATCTTCTACACATCAATTTATTCCGCGACAGCGGAAGAGGAAGACAGCACTGGACAACTAATTGTTATAATTCTATCTTCGTTCTTTTTATTAGTTGTGATTTGTTGTACATACCATTTGATAATAACGGATAAAAAGTATCGGCAAAAGAAAGAGTACGAAACTGACGCTGATATTCTGTTGTCGAAGCAACAAGCTGCTTTTTTGCAAGAAAATCATAAGCTGGTAAGGTTCAGTGCTATTTAAACGTGTTTAAAGTTCATGGATTCAATATAAATTGTTATTTACTAATTTTGTTCCATTGCGTTCTGGCCAAAATTATAAGACATTTACTTGCTTTACTTCCACTAAATATGATTTTTCACACATAGGTACTTGTCGAAATTTAGATATAACCACTAAACTCCCAACCAGTGGAACGCTACACGATCATGCTAACCTAATCAATAATGGCACAGTTGTGCGATGTTTAGCATAACGCATTTTCACCTTCTTTTATCGTGGTTGCCATTCTTTTGTTTAGAAGTCACTGTTTAAGAAACTTCAACATATTTTCGTTAGTGAACACATAACTTGGGCCGCCCCTCGAAAGCGGTGCGTTACTCTTTGTCGCGCTGAATACCACACATCGTTAATAGACACCGTCACGTGAGCGTTTCTTCGCAGATGGTTGGTCGTTTCTAACCGACGTGAAGAGCCAGCTTGCTTTGGCTTAGCGTTCTCTCCAGAATCAATTTCTCACCGCAATGAACAACACCTCACAATAAAAACAGCCAAAAACTTATGAAAAAGCGAGGTTAAAAAACATTATTTACCAGCTAGATTTGTGTTGTTTGCAAATCTTTAGGCCATTTTAACAGGGACGTTGTAATATATAGAGATCCGTATACAATGTTTCTAAATGAGATCATGGAAAAAATCACGCATTTCATATAATTCTTCTTTTTTAAAATCACAATTTAGAGTTAATTCAGATGCATGCGCAGTTATCACTGACATGATTTTATAAACTTTTTTTGTTGATCGATTCTTTATATTTTCAGTCGATCGACGACAATACTATCAAATTTAATGGAAAGATAACGACAGAAAGTAATAAAACCACTCCGATTGAAGAAAGGAACGAGTTTTTCCCCGAAAATAGAGAAGAAATGAGTTTGAAAACACTGAAAAGGGCCGATAGCAAAAGGGAAAAACAACCACGTATATCTTTCAGAGGTTCGTATTATCAACTGTTAGAATGATATGTTTATAGAGACAACACATTCAATTATATATTTATTTTCTTTCTAACCTGAATAACTGCCGTGTCACCGCCTTGGCATGCTCGAAATTTAGTTATTAATTAGATCATAGGAACTGCCCCAGAGCTCCAAAATAATCTCGAGATCGTCTAGAGCAGCCATATTCAACAGGCGGCCCGCGGGACGCATGCGACCCTCCAAGCTTCTTTTACGGCCTTCCAAGCTTGTGCAACCCTAAACACGATTATTAGTAATTGAAATGGTTGACCTACAGTCCTGTCGTTGCGAATTTTCAAAGATTACTAAAACAGCATGACCTTTTTTTTAGAAAATATGTAAACTAAAACAATATGAGGACTTTTTTAGAAAATATTTAAAGCGGATCCCTTTCGTCACCCATTGTCCTTTATTTGCATTATAAAAAGGTGGCAACTCTAGTAATTACCCAAAAATATTGTGGCCCGTGTAGCACAACAAACAGATTTATGTGGCCTGAAAGAAAAAAGGTTGAGTACAGCTACTCTAGAGTTTCTGGCTGACGTTCCCTTCGGGAAAACTCCAACTTCATCCAGCTCCAAACATGCTCAAAAGGATTCAGGTCTGGGAATCTAGAAGGCAATTCAGTACGATTAAGATTTTGCTCTTATAGATATCTGTTTACTAATAATGCTCGATGAGGCCGAGCAATATCGTCCACAAACATAAAATCCTCGGCATAATTTGGAGCATGCGGGAGAACTTCCGGAATCGGAGATTCATTCAGGTGGAACTGGCCATTTACATTACTTCAAAATACCACGAGTCCACCATTGCCAAATGCAACTCGGTGAGGCATATTTTCATCTAAATAAGGTTCTCCCCGTCTCCGTCAAGTTAGCAATCGGCCGTCGGAATTATAGAGGTTGAAACGGCTTTCATCAACGAAAAGACAGTCTCTCCAGCTACGATCCCAATTTATATGTTCTTGGTCCCATCTTCTCCTGTTGGCCCAGTGAATGTGCGTTAAAAGTGGGCATTTTGGCCGTCGGCGAGCATTTAGTCCCTGAACATGTAGGCGTCTTCTAACAGTGTCTGCTGAAACATTTAACTGCAGTTACGCTCGGATTCTCTTGGTAGTCAAAACTCTTTCTGATTGCAGTCCGTACTTCTGCTCGATCCTGATTAGGATTAGTTCATTTTCGAGATCATCCCCCATGTCGGTAAGCAACAGTACTATTTGTTACCTTCTTTCTGCAACGCTATTCCAACGGATGATTTCTTGACATTAAAGAACTCAGAAACTCTCTTCTTGTGTACTTTATCTTCCACAATCTTAAAATATTTACCAAATCTTATGCAATCTAACCTCAAAACCTTATCTCTATGGTAATATTTTTCTCGCCTCCTTAATAAAAATGCAGAAATAAAGTTTTATTAAAAGCAAATGTTCAGACTTACAAATGCAAAAATTGTAGGTACCTATTATTGCTTACTGATACTATCAGTAGGCGCTTACAGGAAGAGTAGCTTAAAATGCAACCCCCATTAACTTTCATAACACATGAAAAAATGTTTTTAAAATATTGACATGTGAAAATCGCAAACTTTTGCACGCCTCTGAATTAGTCAAAACCAAACTCATTACAGTTACGGGCACCTTTTAAACGGTAACGCTTAACGAAAGTGTTAAAAATTTCAAATAAAATCAAGTTTTCGTTTATGAACCCCTTTTTGTACGCCGCTGGCTGGTGTTGACCTTTTGCTTTACACGTTATTCTATAAATAAAAAAGGCTAATTTAAAAAAAAATGGAATTTTATAAAATGGCGACATTTCCATAACAACGCAAAGTATCAAAAAAATAGCAAATACATCCCGAGGTGTCAATCTAGTGATCCACTCAACATTAGAAAGAACTTGATTTGGCCCCCACATTTTTCAAATTGTTCGCCAGAAATCGGACATTTTTCGCGGCTTTACATTCACTCTGTACAAGGATTAAAAATAATAATCGATGCCACTGACGCAAATACCAAGGATGACGCTTTGCGCCTCTGGCTGAAAATACAACATCGACAAAGAAAAGTTATAGCTGGGTAATTTTTTGGCTGTCCCACTTCATCTGCAGTGTAGTAAAGTATGCCATTTTGAACAACTCTAAAGCATATCATTTTAGATGCCGTACACCTTACCCTAATCAAACTTACCTGGTTTTTCACTTCAAAACTTTGAATGAAAACTACCAAAATATCAGTATGAAAGGCCTTAATGTGCCCTTTAAACACCTTAAAAGAGACTTTTTAAAATAACGACGGGTTAACGTGACTTCACCTAGAAAACAACCGAAATTACAATTACAAAAAACTTTAAAACTAATGTTTGTACGAGTGTGGCGAAGATGCTTTAATTTCGAATAAACATCAAGGATGGCGCCACTAGTTTGTAAAATATTGAAATTATGTCGTTTCAACAGCCATGTCGTTTTAAACCACTCGTTTATATTTTATAGTTTACAGATTCAAAAAAATGTCTATTTTTTATTATTTATTTTTTTTTAATAATATGAGCTTTATAGGACTTCAGTTCTCAGCTGGCAATCAATCAATAATAATAATTACTGCTCTGATGATAAACCTTTGAATTACACGTCATATATGATTAACGTTTTTTTGTAGATAATAATACGGAGATTGAAGATGCTTGCGAATTACTTACTCCAGAAATTTTGAGTCCCATGCCAGAGGAAGACGAGGAGGAAGACCAAGACGACGATGAAAAGGATGAGAATGAAACAGATAACGAAACTGATGAAAGAGAGCTAGATGGAATTGAACATGATAAAACGGATGATCGAGAAATTAAGGAAAAATAATCATTAAACAAGGGAGCAAAACTTAATGTAGTAATTTTAAGTGTTAAATGTAACTGTGAAAAAAGTAAATATTAACAGTGATATGAGTTGCTGGTTTCTGTTGTTTTTTATTTGCGGGAATAAAATTTGTTTAAGTCTCACATTAGGTTCAAAATTGAGAATAAGCTAACTAGTTTTACACCGCGAGGATTAAAACTATTAGTTTAGCCTTTTAGGTGCTTCATCTACTGTCAATTAAATATCTTATCGTCAAATTAGTTTTCAACCGACCAAGATGCATAGGCGTACCGAATTCTTCTGCGTTATAACATTGTATATTCGTATGCGTTTTCATAGTAAGATTACAAAACTTATCCAAGAAAAAAAATTATTTTTCGTGGAAAAATCAAACAAAAAATATACATATATCAAAAGATTTGTGGAACTTTAAAAAAATTTCTAAAACAAAATAGGAAATAAAAATATTTGTAGTAGTATGCACGAAATAGCAGAAGCGTTTAATACTAATTCTAGCAAAACCCATGTAATTTTTTAATGAATAACATTTTCAAATCCAACAGCTTTTAAAATTGCAGTGATTCAATGACTACACGAAATTATAAAACCTGTATTGGTTCTCCCTCCGCACTATATATATTACAGTAAAAATGAAAAACATTTAATATCAAATTGCGTTCACATAATAGTTATGTAGGTACATATTTTTATTTGTTCATTAGTATGCGAGGAAACTAATTACAGTTATTATTCAACATAGTTAAAAAAATACTTTTAAATTTTATTGTACAAAATTATCAATTTTTTTTATATCAACCCTTTTGCAGACGCAAAAAAATGCTTGCAAAATATTCTTAGATTTAGAAAAACGCGTTTAAGATATAGCCCGAATTTCGTTGAAAAACGTAATTATCCGGTCATGTGGCTGAAATCCTTACACCGGAAGTAACAAAACCAGACGACAGCAATTTTTTTAATATTTTTGACATCTAGAAACTTATTTTGTCAGCAAAAAATAAAAATCCACTGCTAAGCAACTTAACCCGATCATATGACCGCTCTCACCACCGGGACATAGTACATGTTGTTCACCCTCCTACCGCGGAGCGCCACTGTGCCACCCAAATTACTCTACGACTCACAGGATTAATCCGTTTTAGACGTGCGTCACCTTAAAATGTTCGTCTTGAGTTTGCCTATCGACCCTTGTTCCGGGATTTTTGATTTCGAATTTTATTTTTCTGTAATTTGTGTCCAAAAATTTATTTCATGGAAAAATGGCGATTTTGGGTGCAAAAGTCATCCTAGCGAACGCAACATTGACTTTTTACAAAACTTTTTTGAAGGAAACTCTTCCTCTTGACAACCCCTACAACCCTGTGTACGTCAAATTGCGAGAGAAATTGGCCGTCATGCCTAAAAACGACCATAGTGATCCAAAACTATTGATGCGAAAGGAAATTGTTCCTCAAAAATCTATTGGAACAAAATCTAAATTTGTTTCAATAAAAAGTGTTTGTAATCAATCCAGCAATACGTACAAATTTTCTCAGAATGTTTGAGGATATTTTTAGCCATTTAATTTGGCCAGGAAATCGCCAAATTCCAGAATCTCGGAAAATTTCCAAAAATTCTGTAAAAATTCGGACATATTCCTTAGGTGATACTGAACACTTTTCGTTCAATACAAGTTTCTCATAAAGGTCGTCATTTCCGACATTATAGTTCATTATCAATAAATCATTAATCAATTTTTCAATCAATACTCTATTAGCATTACCCAGGACACCGCGAGGTGGTTAATTATTTTAGTATCCCTTTTTTCTGGTTTTCTAATAAGTATTTTCAAATATTCAATCAGAATCGGATTCATTATCATCTACTATCACTAAATTAAATGGCCAAAAATATCCTCAAACATTCTGAGAAAATTTGTACGTATTGCTGGATTGATTACAAACACTTTTTATTGAAACAAATTTAGATTTTTGTTCCAATAGATTTTTGAGGAACAATTTCCTTTCGCATCAATAGTTTTGGATCACTATGGTCGTTTTTAGGCATGACGGCCAATTTCTCTCGCAATTTGACGTACACAGGGTTGTAGGGGTTGTCAAGAGGAAGAGTTTCCTTCAAAAAAGTTTTGTAAAAACTCAATGTTGCGTTCGCTAGGATGACTTTTGAACCCAAAATCGCCATTTTTCCATGAACGTAAATTTTTGGACACAAATTACAGAAAAATAAAATTCGAAATCAAAAATCCCGGAACAAGGGTCAATAGGCAAACTCAAGACGAACATTTTAAGGTGACGCACGTCTAAAACGGATCAATCCTGTGAGTCGTAGAGTAATTTGGGTGGCACAGTGGCGCTCCGCGCCACTGTGCGTCGTGTCACTTTTTGCAATCGGATGAGGGATTATGACAAAAGATAATACTTTTAACGAGAGTGGTATTGTGTTTTATGTTGAACAAAATATCAACAAAGATATTAGACTAAAAATATATCAAATTAAAATTATTTAATTTAATTCCAACTTTCTTCTGGAGTTTGTTGAATTTGTAAGATTATTTATATATTTATACAGGGTTGGGCATAATTGGCGGAACACCCGATTTGTGGCTCAATTATGGATTGTATTGAAAATTAACCCAAATAAAGTTTTTTGTATATTTTATGTACTATTTAATGACGCTTGGGGATTTTCATTATCTGTCATATTTATCAAGATATGACGTCATCGGATGAAATTTTAAATGAATCACCCTATATTTATATTTTTTTTCAGATAGATCTTTTCTTTCTGAATCCATCAATATGGGGTTCGGGTGGTCTCTGATTTTCCTTATCATCAGAAAATAATAAAACAAAATGGTAAACGTTCTTTTAAATAATTAATGAATAACTATTCACAAAGTTGTCTGTGCCATCATAATGTACCAATATCAATTGTTTTGCCATGGTTTCACTTTTTGACATTAAAATGTAATATTGACATCTCGATATTAATCACTGAGTTTTATTAATACGATTATTGTACATCTCTGACAGGAATACCTACCAATGTTTTTGTGTTACTGTTTACTTGGTTTTTATAATATTATAAAAACTATTGTCACCTTTTATTAATCTGTAGATTTTAATTCATTCTGGTTTATGGAGACAATCAAACAAGTTGAGTTTAATTGCAAGTCAATTCATTTCACCCAAACTAGCCCAATACGCGAAAATAAATAACTCTTAGCATTTGATACTATTGAGAATTTTTATTAATTTAAACCATGGTTGAACTGAGTGAACGTGAAAGAATTACACTATTGATGATTATTGGGTTTGGAGACAGAAAGAGATCTCTGCAAGAAGCTTGTAATTTGTTCAATGAAACATTTCCTGACAGGATTTCCCCGATTTCTAAATCTACAGTATCCAGAAATTTGAGCAAGTTTAATGAAACAGGAAGTGTGAAAAATAATCCCAGATCTGGACGGAAGAAGACAGCCACTGATGAAGAAAATGCACTTAATGTGGTTCTAAGTGTACAGGAAGAACCAAAAACTTCAGTTCCAAAGCTTGCGTTAGACAATAATATGAGCGAGAGATCTGTAAGGAGGATTCTGAAAGTCAATAAATTTCATCCCTATAAAGTGCAATTACACCAGGAATTGAATGAAGATGACCCAGATAGGCGAATGCAATTCTGCCAGGTAATGATGGATGCCATTAATGGAAATAATATGTTGATGAACAGCATTGTTTTTTCCGACGAATCAACATTTTGTCTCAATGGATTTGTAAATAAACATAATTGCCGGTATTGGTCTGATCATAATCCTCACTGGATGGAAGAAGGTCACACCCAATATCCACAAAAGTTAAATGTTTGGGCTGGTATAGTTAGAGGAAGAATTATTGGACCATTCTTCATGAGAGGAACTCTGAACGGTGATCGTTATTTGCAACTACTTCAAGAGCAGATAGTTCCAGAGTTAGTTCGTTTATATCCAAATCACAGAAATCACTTACAACTTTCTGATGAAATTTGGTTCCAGCAAGATGGTGCTCCACCTCATTTCGATGCTAGAGTGAGGCAGTACCTGAACACAATATTTCCACAGAGATGGGTGGGTCGAAGAGGACATATTGAGTGGCCGGCACGGTCACCGGATTTAACCCCACTGGATTTTTTTCTTTGGGGCCATTTGAAATCAGTAGTTTATAAGGACCTGCCACATTCGCTGGAAGAATTGGAATACAAAATAAGAATTGCTGTTCAAGAAATAACACCTGAAGTTTATCAAAATGCCTTAAGATCATTTGTTGATAGACTAGGATATTGTCAGGCAGTTGGAGGCTTTCACTTCGAACACTTACTTTGAGAGATTTGTAATACTTCGATTGATAATAATTATTATTTTTTATTAAATAAATGTTTACTTTCTATTTTGTTATGAACTCGGAGACCCTCAAACCTTATATTAATGGATTCAGAAAGAAAAGATCTATCTGAAAAAAAATATAAATATAGGGTGATTCATTTAAAATTTCATCCGATGACGTCATATCTTGATAAATATGACAGATAATGAAAATCCCCAAGCGTCATTAAATAGTACATAAAATATACAAAAAACTTTATTTGGGTTAATTTTCAATACAATCCATAATTGAGCCACAAATCGGGTGTTCCGCCAATTATGCCCAACCCTGTATACCTAGTCTATTAAATTAGAGGATGTTCTTTTTTTATAATTTTGGGGGCTTTTTAATACATCAAAAACAGTATCACTCATGAAATACATCAATTATATATGGATCACTTTGGCAACATGGACACTCCAATTTAAAGTGACAAAGCGACATTTTTTCAGCATGCATGTAGTGTCTCATCTTGGTAATATTTCCCTTCAACCTTCCTTAGAACAGCAATAAATCAAAATTCACCTGAATCAAAGATTTTCTGGCGATGCAACAACAGCGCACCAACCATTTCTATCTAGAATCTTAAGATTTTCGTCAAAAATCAAATTACAAACTCACAGAAATCTCCAGGAATTAAAATTAGGTACAATGCCATGAAATAAAACTCATCAATATTCTTAAACGTCTAATATTTATCTACTTATCATTCCAATCAGACAGGAGACATGAGATTAAAACTGTTGATCTTGCATCGAAACGACAATTGGAAAATTATTTATAAAATACATACTTATTTACCTAACTTAATAATAAATAGGAGATACATGTCAAAAATGGACTACTCTGATAAATTAAAATGATTTGGGTGGGAGGTGGGATGATAGTAATAATAGCTATTAACATAACTATATACAAATACAAAATTATTATGCTGTATATATAAACGTATATATCAACACGAAATACAAAAACTGTACACAGTCACAATTACTCACTCTGGCTATATAAAAAAATGTTCAATTACTGTCCAATAATGTATTGGAGATTATACAATTAGATTATTAGATGCACGATGTCATGGCGTTGGTCCTATCAGTTTTTTTGTATCGTCCGGACTAGATTTTAGCAGACTGTCATCACCTGAAACAATTCAATTAGTTAACTATTGGGGTGTTTTCTTATAACAAGAAAATAATGAAAAATATCAAAAACATATGACTAAAGAAACAAATTTTTGTCTCTGTTCTACAACAGAATGGATGTCAATTATGAAAATATACTTTTCAAATTAAACATGGAACATAGGCGAATAGAATTTGACTTATACAAAAATTTAAATAGCTTTATACAAGGTGTCCCGAAAATGCGTATACATGGATTTATGGGCTTAAAAATAAGTTGATTTAACCAAACATACCTAAATACCAACTTGCTTCGCTTGTCTGCTAAATGGCAACACGGTTAAATAAAAATGTTTTCCTTTAATCTCCAAAATTCAACCATTTTAGAAGATCAAACATCATACAAATAGAAAATTAAAAGCACCAGGAACAATTTTTCTATTGCGATCATAAGCGTATCATTAGTGGGAGGGCAACGGACATTTACCTTATATCTTTATATCTGTCACTTTTTGACATTTCTGGAAGTATGAACATTGCCTATACGCAACATTTACAAGTCACTTAAAATAGCCGAACGTCGCGTATAAGCGACCCAATAACCTAGGAAAATTATTTTTCTCCATCGGCCACTAGGTCTGAATAGATCCCGTTGCGCCATCGTTGGTTATAGGGAAGAAACAACAACGGCACCTCGGAAGCCTAGCTCGAAGTGTAGTTGTTGCTCAGGTCTAGTTGCGATTGGAAGAGGAAGTTATATTTAACACATTGCGTGCCACGCTGTTATCGGGAAAATAGCCCCAGGGGCCAAACTACATTTTTGCAATATTTGTATGTATTTACTCAAAATAAAGGTTTTTTTGATAATTCTGTTTTGTTTTTGTAGTTTTTACCTTTTTTTTTTTCACTTTTTCTGTGTCTCTCATATATGAGCGACGTGGCGCTGAAGCAAAAAAAAGTTGTAATATTTAAGTTGTGGGCCATGTCTTTCAAATATGATCGACGCATAGTTGCAAAATCCAAAGCTAAATTGACATACAATTATTGCGACAAGTGCCCCGGACAACCGCAAAAATGTGCGTTATGTTTCAATGAAAACCATTAATTCTTAAATTTTTTTAAGTTTCTCTTTTTTCTTTTTTGCAGTTTAAAGACGTTTTCATTTTGTTATTAGAATAAGCAATCCCAGAATAAATTTTGTTTCATTATTAGGAATAGGCTATTTCAGAATAAATTTTGTTTTATTAGGTACTCAAAATAAATATTTTTTCAGTTTTTTTTTTTTCTGCAGTTGAAAGATGTTTTTACTTTGTTTTTAGGATAAGCAATTTCAGAATAAATTTTGTTTTTATTACGCAAAATAAATATTTTTTAAACATTTGTGGGGGTAAATTTATTTTTCCAAATTTGCTCAAACCAAGACCACTATTACTTTCCCAAGAGGCCAAGCTTGCGATTCTCCATTTGAAATAAACGGTAGCGGGTATCACATTTGATATACATCGTCAGAAAGTGAGAGATACGTGTCTCTCATAAATGAGCGATGAAGCCCCCGGCGAAATACTTGTGTCTCTCATATAAGAGAGACATGGCACGCAATGTATTAAAGGGTGATGAAATTTGAAACCTAATTGTTTTTTATTTTAAATTTTATTTTTTGAGAAATCCAAGTTCAATGTCAAGACAAAACAACAATATCACTCACGTGATTCTAATGTGCCAACCAGGGCTCTACAGAACGTTTTTCAGAGAGCAACAGAATCCGCAGTCCCCATAGGTGAATCTGAATCAGTCATGAAAGTTCAGAGACACTCAACAAGCGCAATCATGGTTAGAGAGAGATAAAAATTGGGAACAAAAACAACAAATTGCCATGGTTCCAGAGGTACGCTCTGATAAGTGAACATGAATTTAAGAGGAAATGGTTCTTGAAAGCTTTTTTACATCACCAAAAATAGATTATTCTTAGGAAGAAATTTCTAAGCTTAATGATAAAAATCTAGAGTTCGAGAGAAAGTATTATGAAAACCAAGAAAAAGTCAAAGAATTACAATTAATAATTAAGGATCTTAACAATACGCTTTGGGATAAAGACATCTATATAAAGAGATTACAGAAGAAGAGTTCGAAGATGAAGTGTTTGAAACTGAAAACAGAGATGCATGAACTTTAAAGGATCAGAGGGATATAATAGTGAATTTAAAAAGAGAAATGACTGAACTGCAGGAAAATTTCAAATTAAGTGACAATGAATTGAAAAATAAAAATAAATTAGTAATATTTAAAAATAGAATTAAGGAACTGGATGAAATTAGTCGACAAATGGTAATAAAAATCTTAGAGCAGGAAAATAATACATATGTGAAGGAATGGGCCCGTTCACTTTCATTTTTGAATGTGAATTAATTATATATTTATAAAGATATTAAACTCTTTTGTCTGGTGGTACTTTTCCCGATAAGATATTTTTGCTAGAAGTAAGGGAATTCCCATAAAATTCTTTCAGTGACTCATTGCGTCAGAAAATCCCTAATTCCGTTCACGTCTCGTATCGGTTATGCTTAAAGACGGCGGGGTTGTCGGAAGTATCCCTAATATAGCATTTCTGCATTTATATATGTAATTTAAATAGTAAAATTCCATTATTTTTCTAAAAATCATGAACTTATATTTTCAGATTTAAAGCTGGGAGCTTATTTTTTACTTTTTAATTAAAACAATTATTATTACTCAGGCTGAAAATTAACCAGACCATAATCAAAAAGTAGAAATTTGATTTGCAATATTTATCTGGTAAACGTGGCAACGTTGCATTTATTTCTAGAAGTGTGTGTAGACAACACTATTTAGAAGTACTTACAACGTTGTCACGTTTACCAGATACATTTTCTCAAATAAAATTTCGATCTGGTAATATTCAGCTTGAGTAATACTAATTGTTTTTATTAAAATTTAAAAAAGGTAGGGCTTCCAGCTTTATCTGAAAATATAAACACATTATTTTTAAAAAATAATATATTTTTATCATGTAAATTTCTTTAATAAATGCAGAAGAGGAATGGTGGTGCAATGATACATCCGACAACCGCGCCCTTTTAACTATTAACCGATACGAGACCTGAAGGGAATTAGGGGTTTTCTGGCGCAATGAGTCACTGAAAGAATTTTAAGGGAATTCCCTTACTTCTAACAAAAATATCTTAACGGGAAAAGTACCACCAGACAAAAGAGTTTAATATCTTTATAAATATATAAATAATTCACATTCAAAAATAAAAGTGAACGGGCCCATTAGACAGGTTAAGACTGGAATTAAAATCAAGAAACTGCAAGAAATATCAAAAAAAAAAAATCTTCAGAAGAAGCCCGAAGCATAAATAAGGATCCAATTCAAATTGCTAGGAATGCAAAACCTAAGTCTTGCAATATTTTAATTTTATGTGATCAGTTAGGGTATAATTTGGATCAAATATTAAGGAATCGTTCTGAAAATACAACTGTACATACCATTATTAAACCATTTGCTTGCTTTGTGATATAATGAAAAATTTGTCACAATTGACACATAATTATACACTAACTGATTCAGTTATTATTATAGCAGGTTCAAATGATTTCCAGAAGAAAAAATATCCGTCATTTAGAAATTTAAATAATAAGTCTTGTCTACATGCAAATTTATTTTTATTATCAGTACCTTACTGTAATGATTCCAATGTCAACGAATTCATTTATAAATTTAATTGCAAGTTAAATGAGTATCTTTTTAAATTAAATAAATGTACAGAAGTATCTGTTCACTTTATAGATTGTAGCAACAAAAACGGAAAACTTTTGTCTAAAAATGCAACGGTACTTAATTTATTGGAAAACCTAAACAAGCCAAAGAATTCTAGCAACCTTAGATTTTTTTAAATAAACTAAATATAATATAATAAATTTTTTGATGCGTTTAATGGAAACAATAGAGATATAACAACTGCAAGACTTATAGATTTTATATTATATCTTAACGCTCAAAGTTTACCTGTACATATAGATGAAATTAGATATTAAATTAAGCAAAAAAAAAACTAATATCGTTTGCCTTTCTGAAACACATGTAAAAAAATATATAAATTAGTGTATGTGGTTATGCAGTTAATAGAACTGACAGTTCTAGTAGGTATACTGTATTGTTACATAAGGAGGATTTACAAATATTGCAAGTCTATAAAGTGTGCAAAGATAAACATTTTTGGTTCATCATTTTTATTTCAAAATAAAAAGTATATTATATTTATTTTATATAGATCTCCAAGCAGCAGCATGGCACGATTCTTGGATTTGTTTGAAAATTGGTTTGAGAGTAATATTGGTGAAACAAACCATAGAATAATTACATGTGACGATTTTAATATAAATTGGATAGATACTATATATAGTAATAGAATAAAAAATATGATTTGTGATATGGATTTTAAAAATGTGATAAATGAGTTTACGTATATAAATGATAGGGGAGGGACATTTATAGATTTAGTTTTGTCTAATATAGAACTTAATGTTACAATATTTGTTGAACCAAAAAAAGCAGTCGTCGCAACATAACAGTATCACTGAAAAATATTCAACTAAATAAGCAGAATGATGAATATTGTTTAGAGACCAGGGGAAGAAATATAGACTTCTAAACATATAGGAATAAAATTAAAGGAAATTAGTTGGAACTAAAGTGAAAGGGATTTAGATAAGAGATATTGGGGTCTATTCTTTAACAATTCCTTTATATTTAAAGGCCTTTAAAAATATTTTCTTCTTTACTTAAATAAATAAATAAATAAATATATATATTACGGAATAATCCATTAGTATCAATAAATTACATAAAATAAAATAGCTTAAGTACATTAAAAAAAAAAAAAGGTAGGCACAATAAATCTAAAATTTCATATATGAAATGTAATAAACTAAACTAAAGATATTAAAAACAAATTCTCTTTACATCATTCACAAATTGACTAATAGAACACCCAGTGA